ATCTGTTTTACAAAAAATGTAGAATTAGAAGATTTTTTACGTCTGAAATGTTTATTCGTAATGTCTCGTATCAGTCAATTTATTAATGTTATCTATACTGTAAACAGCATCATCCGCTTCTATTGCAAAATTGTATGAAAACTATGTGACCTTTTCCCCACATTGTAGAGAAGAAGGTACTCTTTCTTAGATAGGGGGTACACAGCGCGCAGTTTGTAAACTTTGAGTTCAGTAGGTCGGTTTCAAAAATTTTCAGCGGCAAAAGTAGCTTGTGTGGGCCCACCTAAATTTCTAAAACCTGAGTCTTCTGTCTTACGGGACTGGTGAGATTGGGGGTTTTATGGGTGGGGAAAAGAAATGGACGATAAAGGGCCTTTGTAAAAATAAGTACAAAAAGTCGTTAAATTTTGTTGAAATAGTTTAATGCGGCAGCAATATAGCGACGGCGTTTGGCGCGTAAATAGGAAAAAGTGCGAAAAACAAACCGACATCGCATCGACCTCGAATCGACGTTGACAAAAGTGGAATGTGGAGTTTTATCCCGAAAACTCCCAATTTCCCAAAACCCAGTAATAATAGACGTTTTGAAATCTTTTTGTAATATTAAGCGTTTATTATTAATAATAAAAAATCCGGTAAAAATATTACTGGACATATGTATGAAATGTAATGTTCAATATTACAATTCTAAATTTCCGGTGACTGGCTGCTGTGAACAACAGGTTGTGTTGTGGCTGGTCTACTCGAGGGCTAAACTGAAGCAATTCGAATATTCCTTCCAATTCCTTAAGCTAAGGTATGTGTTTGTAACTTTGGGGAGTTTTGCTGACCCTGGGCGAAGTCACTGAGGTACATTTTTGTAATATCATCACTAAACCCTAATAGACCAACGACGGACGCATATGGGTTGGGGGTTGTTCACTAACCTTGGACGAGGTTACTGATGTACATTTTTTACTATCATCGCTAGCCCCAACTGGACCAATGGCGGGCGTGTGTAAGTTGGGGGATGTTCACTGACCCTGAGTGAGGTCATTGAAACTGTTTTTCTTTTTTTAGGAACCTCAATACTTCAGATGATGTATATCGCTGTCTAGTTTCTTGCGTAAAGGTGTCTTTCCTCTGTTAAACCGCAACTGTATGAAAAGCATTTTCGGGTGATCATCAGTGAAGTATGTTAGGCAAACGCTAACCGCGATTATGTAAAGGAAACGAATGGTATGTGTAGTAATTGCAAGTGCAACTGTTGCCTCCTTTTAGCGAGATAAGCCGCGGCAATGTTATGACAAGGCTGAGTAGACGAAAAAAGTGAAAAATTGGCAGCGATATAGTAGCAGGGTTGTCAATGCACGTTGAAGAAGCGGAACGCGACGCGCAGCTACTAGTCTGCCGACTTAAATGAATAGGCATAAATACGCCTACCGAAACTAATATAGTAGTTATGTTAGTGTTTCTTTCCAAAATGGGCCTACCCACGCTACGGTTACCTTTTCAGCAATTTATAAACTTTATTAAAAGCGAAAGATACCCTTTTACGTATAAACTTTGAAAAAGGCCTAATTTGCTACCAAACGAGTACAAAAAGTATTTTTTTTGTGCACGTTTTCTACAAAATATATTCGAATTTATAAGGACAGTGAAAATAAATGAGTTAAATGCATAGTACTGATTTTTGTAGGCGGTCAAAAGTAAGCTCTTTGAAAGGCCGGCGTCCTGACGTAACTGAAATGACTTGAGATTAGGCTGCACGGTAATCAGTATTACAAGCCGGATTACGAGTGATTATCAGTCTTTCGCAAATTTCGGCATTGTGCATGACTTCGCGACCGTACTGTACACATAAGCCGGGTATACACCCGGGCCAGTACTTTTGACCAACAGCAAGCAAATTCACACTCTCATTTCACGCGTGAGTTAGAACAACACTTTTGCGGTCAACTCATAATATTATAAAGTCATGTCTTCTGATTTGCATGTGATGCTGCATACTTCAAGCACAACTGCGGGGTTCTTTCCTCACGCGTCTCTTTCTCCCCCCTTGTGCGCAGGTGACAAGGTACTTTTGGCGGTAGCCGGA